CTCTCTCTCTCTCTCTCTCTCTCTCTCTCTCTCTCTCTCTCTCTCTCCCTCTCTGCCTATATATAGAGATACCTATCTAGTATGTGTGTATGTTTACATACATATTTATATTATAATTTTTTTGAGGAGGCTGCACCTCTGGTATTCTTTGATTCTTTGAATAATTGTGGAAATTGAGAAGGAGGGGCAAGCAAAATACAAATCATGCTATGGTCTTAATGTGTCGCCTCCAAAATTCAGGTGTTACCAATGTGATGGTATTAAAGGTGGGGGCTTTCAGAGGTGATTAGTCAATGGAAGCTCCTTCCTGATGAATAATATTAAGCCCCCCATAATAAAATGAAGCCCCCCTTACAAAAGGGGCTTCACACACTGCTCAGCTAGCTTCCCCTTCCACCTTCTGTCATGTGAGGATGAACTAGGAAGCTCCTCGGCAGACCAAATGCCAAGCCTTGACCTTGGACTTCCCAGCTTCCAGGATTGTGAGAAATAAATTTCTGTTCTTTATAAATTATCCAGTCTCAGGTATTTTGTTATAGCAGCCTGAATGGCGTAAGAAATTGTAACAAGCCACTGCCTTGTCAAGTGAGCCCTAAATGTGTGGTTTGGGGGAAGAGCAACAGAATGAGGGAAGGGTGAGAAGGTGTGATGAGAGAGGAAGTTCTCAAACCACCTTGCCAGTGATGGGTTGTTGCCAGGATGAGAGCTGTGGCCACCACCATGGGAAATGGAGGACATGATGGCTCTCATCCAGCTCCCTAAGTATGCTGGCCAGCTAATCAACCCACCAACCCCTTCAACCACATTTCTGGTGCTTCTTTGTGCTGTGTTTGCTGTCCTCTGCTTTTGAAGATGACACTACCAGTAACGATCCCCAGCTGGCAGTGCAGGTGTCACTGATAAGACCAGTGGAGCCCAGCAATCTTCCCACACTGGGAACACCTGGTGTTTCCTCTCCGTTTTGGGGCTGTGGTTGCCACTCTAAGACTGGTGTTGGATGAAGTTGGTTTTAATACTTGTGAATTGGCTCTTTATGAGTCATCTCATTTCTCATCCTTCCGTGTGCAAGAGCCTCTCTAAGCCACAGAAAATACTTTTCCACCATCAAAACATGTTCTGTGGAGCTCTCGATCATTGTGTGGAAATATATTCCAGCTTCATTCATACCAATAGTGTTTATAGAATTGATTCGATAAAGGTGCACATACTTTCAGCTGTTTTAAGGCAAGATTTTGTGTACAGGTGCTTTATTCTTTTATCTACAGAATCCATTGAATAGTTATTTTAAAATAAAGACAAGAACATCCCAGTGGGATGAAGCTCCAGTTGCCCACAGTGGTAATCTGCCCATCAACAAACACATCTTTCGATCTTTTGTTGGCTTTATATATATATATATATATATATATATATAATTGTACTTTAGATTCTGGGGTACACGTGCAGATCAGGCAGAATTGTTGCATAGGTACATACATGGCAGTGTGGTTTGCTGCCTCCATCCCCCTGTCACCTATATCTGGCATTTCTCCTCATGTTATCCCTCCCCGACCTCTAGTCCCTCCCCTAGTCCCCCCCACAAGACCCCATCTTTTGTTGGCTTTCTTCTCTTCCCTGACACACTCCCCTACTCCTCTATCGGTGGTTCCTGGAATCTCATTGCAAACAGGCTACTGTCACTCATATTTCTATCTCAGGGTCTGCTTCTAAGGAAGCAAAACTAAAGAAAGTTAGTTCTTTTAAATGCCTGCCTGGTAAACACAAATCTCTCTGTGTGATTTGCCTGTGATCAGGACATGGCTGAGTTATCACTGGTAGAAGAGGTTTATACTCAAATCATCAATGCACATTTACAGGTGTGAAATCTGTGACGGCTAATCTCCATCTAAGTTTCATCCACGGACCTCACTAACTGTACAGTGCCGTGTCTGATATTTCAGCAATGACGCAGCAGTTCAAAGGCTCAGTCACAGAATTACAGTATGCTACCAACCTACATTCTTTCTGTTCATCCAGCTTAGGCAGGGGATATGATTCTTGCTCCATCCCAAAGTTCACCGTTGGGTAGATGTTTTTTCATTTTGCCTTAAAAGTTGATTTTCCTCCTCTTCTTCTTTTATTTATTGCTCAGTGTTTATAAAAAGGCCTTTAGGAATTAATAAAAGACCAATGTAATTTAAAGACCTCAAAGCCAAATTACTTTGGAAGAAGGAGTTTAAGGTCTTTGAAGCATAGATGGCAGCCAACAGCTTGAACTACTGAGTTTTTCTTGGGCAAGAAAACTTTGGAATACTGGAATAAGATTTTTCCTCTCTCTCTCCGTCCTGTGTCTACAAATTGTTCCATAGGCCAAATATTGAAATAGAGGAGACTTCGAATGTGGTCTTCAAACTTACAATTTATCTCCAAAAATTTAGAGGAAGGAAAAACAAAGAAAAAATCAAAACAGTGAAATTGTGCGTTCATGGTATTGGAAAGAGCATGGGATTAGAAGCCAGGAGACACGGATTTCTGGTCTCAAATCTGCCACTGGCTGTGTGATCTTGAACAAAGAACTGACAATTTCTTGGCCTCTTCTGTAAAAGGAAGAGGTCTGAGCATGGCTGTCTTTAAGTCTCCCCCTGCCTCCACGCCCGCCACCTAGCACCAGTCCTTTGGGAAACACACATTACCACCATTACCTTCTTCTTTAAAACTTGTAAAGCAGACATGTTTCTGGTTCCCCGTAATCCCTTTAAGTCTACTCAGTGGAGCTGGGCTGTTTTCTATCCCTGGAAAACCTGA